CCCTTCACTGAATCAAAACATTTCACTGAACTGAAATTGGATCAAAACATTTCTTAGGATGATTTGTTTAGAAATGCACAGCACCTCAGAGATGAACTGGTTCAAATCTCTTATTTATAGATGAGGAACTGGTGATCCAGAGAGGTGAATGGCATAGCCCCAGATTATAAATTTATTATCTCTCAAAAGGCGGAGAGAACAGTACTGATCTCTGAATTTCTGGTGGTGAGTACTGGGGATGATAAGCTTCAAATTAATAAACTCTTATGTAAATTTTCAAAAGCACAAATCACAAGGCAAAAAAAAAAAAGTAATTTGATTATACCAAATGAAGGATTTCTATTCAATGAAAGACACTATGGATTGAGTTAATAGATGTAACATACTCAGAAGATATGTGCAATGTCTAAAATTGATCACAGATCAATATCTAGAACTAGAAAATCATGAAAAATAACTTAACTATTTATTTAAAGACATATTTATTTATTTTAGAGAGAGCGTGCGCGCACACATGCAAGTGCGTGTCGGGGGAGGGGCAGGGGGAAGCAGACTCCGCAGAGTGAGGAGCCCTACATGGGGCTCCATCTCCCAACCAGGAGATCATGACCTGAGCCAAAACCAAGAGTCGGATGCTTAATTGACTGAGCCACCCAGGCGTCCCCCCATTTATTTATTTATTTATTTAGAGAGTGAGGACTGGTGTGCAAGTGGGGGGAGGGGCAGAGGGAGAGAGAGACTCTCCAGCAGACTCCCCGCTGAGTGCAGAGCCCCACTGGGGGGTGGGCCTCCATCCCAGGACCCTGAGATCAGGACCCGAGCAGAAACCAGGAGTCAGACACTCAAGCAACTGAGCCACCCAGGCGCCCCTAAACCTATTTTTTTTTTTTTTAAGAGGAAAGGATGTGAACATGCGATTAGGGAGGAGGAAATGCAAAAAGTAAATATGCCAAAGTCACCAGTTATTAGAAAAATAGAAGATCACATAATGAGAGGACATTTCATACCTACTGGAAAGCTGGATAATGCTGCAGGCTATGGGTAAGGACTGGGGGCTTCACATCTGTGTGGGTGTGGAGCCTGGGGAGAACAGGGCACTCTGGTCACTCAGGCAGTCCTTAGGCAAAGTAAGGATACCCATCCCCCTGATCAGCAATTCCGCCCTTGGCTATGGATCCCAAAGAAAGCCTCCCAGGCCGGAAGAGCAGGAAGCCATTCGGAGCAGTGTACTTGTGCATCCTAAACCATCACCGGGGGAGAGGAGGGTAAAATCTGTGGAGGTCTCTGTGCGGTATGATGCAGGGTATACCCACAGAGCCAGCACAGACGCGGACAAGCGTGAAAACAACACGCTTAAAAAGCAGAATCAAACCTATAAATACAGAGAATAAGCTAACTGTGGCCAGAGGGAAAGGTGTGGGGTTGGGCAAAATGGGTGAGGGGAAAGTGGGAAATACAGGCTTCCAGTTATGGAAGGAAGAAGTCTCGGAAATAAAAGGCCGATGATGAGTAGAGTAAGTGATACTGTTGCATGGCTGTGAGGGGACACACGGCAGCTACACTTGTGGTGGGCACAGCCTAACATATAAACTTGTGCAACCACATTGTTGTACACGTGAAACTAATGTAACATTTTGTGTCAACTATATTAAAAAAAAATAAAGAAAACCCAACCAGTTGAGGACAAAAGAAACAGAATGATCTGAGCAACAGAACGAGTTATATAATTTAAAAACATTAAGACCCTTAACTATGATAAAAGTTCTGCAAGTACACACAGAAACAAACAGGAACATCAAACAGAGTGGTAGCTCACGCAGGAGGTGGGGAATGTTGATGAAAGGCGATTTGATTGCTCCCGCCCCAGGGTGAGTTAAGGCGGGGACCAGAGTTCGCACCCTGCCTGCTGGCTCAAGCACCAAGGAGCGGTTTGCTAAGCCTAAGGCTGCAGTCTTTTGGACAGAAAGGGGGCTCAGGGGCAAGGGCAGATTACAAAGGAGGCTGCCCTTCTTTCCGAAGCTGACTTCCTCCCAGCGCACCCCGATGGTGGGAATCCCACCTCTTTAGACAAATCTCTCAAACTGTGTGCTCTCAGGGGTTTTCACAAGTCCACTCCACGAGTAAACATTAAGAATAGTTTACACAGGGGCGCCTGGGTGACTCAGTCATTAAGCGTCTGCCTTTAGGCTCAGGTCATGATCCCAGGGTCCTGGGATCGAGCCCCACATTGGGCTCCCCGCTCGGCGGGAGGCCTGCTTCTCCCTCTCCTGCTCCCCCTGCTTGTGTTCCCTCTCTCACTGTGTCTCTGTCAGATAAATAAATAAAATCTTAAAAAAAAAAAAAAAGAATTGTTTACACAATGGGGCTTAGAAAAGATGTTGGAGGGGGCAGAGGAGGTGGGTAGAGTATGCCAGGCAGTCAGAATCAGATCAACTGACTCTGTGAGTGCCTCTGTGCTGTCCTCCTCAAGCCTCAGGGGACACTCATCCTTCCACCAAGACAGTTACACCAACTAGTGGCTTCTGAAATTCTCCCTCTACAATTTCCTGCCTGGCAGCTACGTCTAGGGGATCTCTGGGCTGGCCCTGGGGCCTCCGGAAGCATCAGAACTGCTCCAGCAGCGCTCGCTGGGACATGCAGGTCTAGAAAGTCTACACCTCCTCCAAGGCTCCTGGGGTGAAGCTAGATTCTAGTAGCTTCCTCTTTACCCTCTATAACTTTGAGGCCTTAGATGTAGCTCCTTTAACCAAGTCCAGTTTCTAGAGAACTGGAGATGCCCCTCGACAACTGTTTTCCATCCAAACCAGAATCTCCAGCTCCCTGGAAGTGAAGAGGCGGTGAGCGAGTGGATGGAGGGGGCCAACATTTATAGCAGAACAGCAATAAATTTCCCTGAGCTTAGAATACTATAAGCAAAATGACAATAAAAAATCTCTGTAAAACAAGAATACGGCAGAGCTTTATCACACGCTAAAGCATAACACGACTAGAATTCTACGCAGGTCAAATCATGTTTGTCAAACCCCAGAACGGCACAGATGATGACATACTATCAGGAACGTGGCCATCAGACTCCCCCTCTTTACCTCCTGTCAACATTATAGAGTAGCCTATTTTTCCTCAGGCCCCAGTCCAATTATTTTGAGTGAAACTTGAAAGAAAATTACTCCACCCAACAAAAAGCATTCTAAATACTTTCCAGTGGTGACACGCTGTAACTTGCAGCAAATTGCTCCAGCCTCACCCAGAGTCCTATCATAAACACTTGATAGGATAATTAACATCATGGGCTCGATTTGACTTAAAGAGGAAAACATTAGTATTAGGAAAAACTAGGAATTCTCCATTTTTTTTTCTCACCAAAAGGAGTTTACATAGCTATGGAGAAAAGGGTATCGCAAAGAGAAAAGTTTAAGAGTCGTGATTTATATGTGAAATAAAAACAAACTCATATGATGTTTATTTTACCCTTCTGGGAGGAAATGGAGATGTAAGCTAGTAACAATTCAATTCAGTAAATATTTATTCTGTCATTATCCCACACAAAGCATCAGGCAGGTTAGGCTATGGAGATACCAATGATAAGAGACCATACAGGGTTCTTGAGACCCGCCCCCCCCATTCTTCTGCGGAGTCCAGACAGCTGCTGGTGAGCCCCACCCCCCCACTCGTGGACTCAGATGCATAGGGATTTGTTTGAATCCCTGTGCTTTCAGTGTCTCCAGTAACCTTACAAGCAGCCATCAGAATGGAGAGGAACTCCCTCTGCCCATCTCTCCTCTCTCTAAGATGAGCTTTCTTGTTGGTGGAAAAAACCAAAACAACTCTACCTTATCATCTTTTCCTGTCCTACCTTCTCCGAGTTTCCAGGGGAAAAATAACCTCTGGGCTGTTTTCATACTAAGTATCTTGTTAGCCCTCTGTACCCCAGCCTGGACCACACCTCTCCTTCCCCTCCCCCTGCACCCGTGCTCTCTTCTTCCTCTTCTAAAGCTCTTAAGATTTCTTGTCCCCGGTTTCTCCACAGAATCCCTTTACTCTAGGGTTTTACACTGGGTTAAACTTGGGTGGCGGTCTGATGAAAAAAAAAAACCCACCATATATATGTTTTGGTCATATTTATTACTGCATAGTCCCTCTCTGCTCATTTTCTAGGGTTTAGTCCAACAAATAAGGCATTGCCTTTCATAGAGCATTTGCGAGCTTGGACTTAAACTCTTGCACATGTTTCAAGTGCCTCATCTCTTCAGCTGGACTCTCTAAACCTGTGCTGCCAAACTGACTTTACCGAAATCCTTTGAACCCCCAGTGTTTCAGTATTTTCGTTCTTTCTGGAAGTTTCTTTCTTCCTCTTTAAAAAGTCTGTAGAGAAGTATCTAGTAATAAGAACTAACATTTACAGAGGCCATGCTATGAGCCAGGCAACCCTCTGAGATAGATCCTCATCTTGTAGAGGCTGGAAGTGAGGCACAAAGAGACTAAATAACTTGCACACAGAAGACAGCGGAGCCAGGACCCTACCCCAAGCTTGTGAGCTTAATCAGGCTCAAGCTGCGACATGTAAGGGATCTGGAATTCATTCTTATCGTCTCTCTCTTTTGGAGCTGGTGACCAGGGCACTGTACTCAACCTCTTTGCCCCTGAGTTTTCCCTCCAATAAAACAGAAATAAAACATTCTACTTCGGTCGCTGATCTTGGATAATTGCCAAGGCTCCCGCTTAAGCCAGCTGACGCCTCGGAGGTAGGGCTGAGTCCCTCTCCTCCAAACACCCCGCGCAACCACGTCAATCCGTTTAAGACGAATCATCTAAGGGACTTCTATGTCTGCATCTAGCCGGCACGCCGGCCAGAGTCCCGCTTTCTCCCCACATCGCCCTGAGCCCGGTCCGAAGCCGGCCACCCGGTGCCACGCCATTGGCTGCTCGTCCGCGCCAGCTGCCCTCTCAGTTCGGGGCTCCTACCCCGGGGCTCGCCAGCCTCCCCGGCTAGCCGCACTTACCATGGCATCGTAGCGCAGGGCGTTCATGAAGTGCGCCACCTCGGCACCCTTGTACACGGTGAACCAGATGGTGCCCTGGTACTGGTCGCCGGCGTCGAGCAGCAGCACGTGCGGCTCGGTGCGGCGGATCTGCTGCACCTTGGTGAAGAGCCGCGCCACGCCGCCCACACAGCGGCTGGCATTGACGCACTTGCTCGAGTCCTCGCTCGTCTGCTCCAGCCGGCTGTGCACGTCGTTGGTGTGCAGGATGGTGAGTTCCCAGGCGCCGGCCGCCGGCCACAGCAGCGCGCCCAGCGCGAGGAGTCGCAGCGCCGGGGCTCGTGCGGCTCCGCGACCCATGGCTGCGGCGCGAAGAGTGCGAGCGCACAGGCGGGCCGGGCGAGCGGCGGCGGGCGCGGGACCTAGGCGCCGGGGCCGACGGGGCGGGGCGGGGCGGGGCGCGGCGGGGGCGGGCCTCTTTCAGCCCGGAGGCCGGCCCCACACTCCGGCGCACGCCCGCGCAGTCACCCGATCCGACCCTGGCACCCGGGGCGGCCGCGCCGCGCCCGGGCTGGCGGCTGGCACCCGCTGCCGGCAGCAACAGTAGGGAGGTTGTTCCCGGCGGGGAGCGGGCGCTGGCCAAGATGCGGGGGAGCCCGCAACCCCACAGCTGGTGGGCTGCGCTTTCCCGGATGCGGGGGGCGGGGGCGGGGTTACCACCCCGCGTCTTGGCCCTAGCTGTTTCTAGGCTCGGCTGAGGCGCGAGCTTTTCCCCGAGGGGAAGGCACAGTTTGTGCTGGGCTTGTGCTTGCGCAAGCTCAGCACTCGAAAGAGTGAAAGCGGGAAAAAAGGGGAAAGAAAATATGCGCGAGATGACGCGGAGAGAGAGAGGAGTAAAGAGAGGCAGGAGAGAGGAGCGCTTTGCCTTTTGGGCTGTGGAAGCCAGAAATGGACTGTGAAACGTGGCTGACCGCTGTCTTTCCAGTTGGAGAACGCACCAAGTCCCCGTTGTGTAGACGTAGAACCTCCGAATTTAAGACCATTCCAATCCAGTCCAGCATTTGTTCACAATGAAAGCCTTAGCGATGAAACGGCATTGGTGCGGGGACAGTTCTTGGAAGCTAAAACGGACCATGGGAGTAAAAGCAGCAGCTCTGTGGACGTGATGCTGCCTTCTGTTGCCTTTTTAAGGCATTTTTTAAAAATGTCCATTCCCTTCGTTTTCTTTAGGTGTTAATGTTTTAAGGATGTGGTGTGTGTGTGTGTGTGTGTGTAGTACATTAAGACAAAGCTTTGGGCAAGGAAAGCTATAATAGGAATGCATCCAATAAATCATTACATAGAATTTAAAATTGCAGAATTTCCCTCTGTCTAACCAACTGATTCCTGAGTGCAATTAACAACCTAGTGCTTTGGGAAGGGAAGGAGAAGGGAATTAGTTTGGAGGTCCTATTAGGTGTCCATTGATTTATACTTTGCCGAACAGCATATGCGTTCCTCACACTTCCCAAAATGCGTCAAGTCAGTACTTTTTTTTTAGCTTTTTGGATAAGATATATATATCCTAAAAATTACCATCTTAACCATTTTTAAGTGTACACTTTAGTAGCATTAAGCACATTCACATTGTTGGGCAACCATCACCACCATCCGTCTGCAGAACATTTTCATCTTCCCAAAAGGAAACTCCCTAGCCATTAAACAATAACTTCTATCACCTCTACCCCCCAGCCCTTGGCAATAATCATTCTGCTCTGTCTTTATGAATTTGAGTACTGTAGGTACCTCATGTAAGTGAATCAGACAATATTTGTCCTTTTGTGGCTGACTTGTGTTTCACTTAACATAATGTCCTTTTCAAAGATCCATCTATGTTGTGGCATGTGTCAGAATTTCCTTCCTTTTTAAGGCTGATTCATATTCCATTATATGTCTGTCCATACCACATTTTGTTTATCTATTCACCCATCAGTGAACACTGAATTGTTTCCACCTTTTGGCTATTGTGAATAATGTTGCCATGAGCACGGTGTACAAATTATCTGCTTAGACGGTGTACAAATTATCTGCTTAGATCTCTGCTTTCCATTCTTTGGGCATTGCTGGATCATATGGTAGTTCGATGTTCAATTTCTTGAGGAAATGCCATACTTTCTAATATAATGGCTGCACCATTTTATATTTCCAGCAGCAATGCACAAGAGTTCCATTTTTTCCACATCCTTAACAACACTTATTTTCTGCTTTTTGATAATAGCCATGCTGAAGGTTTGAAGTAGTATCTCACTGTGATTTGATTTGCATTTCCCTAATGATTAATGATGTTGAGCATCTTTTCATGTGCTTATTGGCTATATGTATATATCTTATGGAGAAATGTCTATTCAAGTCCTATGATTTACCCATGTTTTAATAGGATTATTTGTTTTTTTCTTATCGTTGCTGAGTTGTAGGAGTCTATATATTCTGGATGTTAATCCCTTATCAGATATATATATATTGCACATATTTTCTCTCATTCCATGGGTTGCCTTTTCATTTTGTTGAGAGTGCTTCTTGATGCACAAACTTACATATTTTGATGAAGTCTGATTTATCTGTTTTCTTTTGTTGTCTGTGTTTTTAGTGCCATATTTGAAAAAACATTGCCATAGCTGATGTCATGAAGCTTTTCTCCTATGTTTTTTCTAAGAGTTTTATAGTTTTTGTTTTTAGGTTTAGGTCTTTGATCCATTTTATATCCAATATATAATATATACATGGACTAATGATGTAATATATGGTGATTAACATAACAATAAAAAAATTAAAAAAATATATATACATGGAGAGAGAGGTTGGAGGGAGAGGGAGAGGGAAAAAGAGACATTTATCATAAGGCATTGGCTCACTTGATTATGAATGCTGAGAAGTCCCACAATATGCTGCCTGCACTGGAGACTCATGAAAACTGGTAGTGTAGTTTGAAGGCCTGAGTGCTAGAGAGCCGATGGATTTACCTTGATTTTAAAGAACATGATTTTGTGTTTCATTCGTACTGATACATGCAGTTATTACAGAGTGCAAAATTGGGAATTTGGGGCATGGCAAGCATTTGGATTTCTGCATTAAAACCCAAATAGCTAAAACCTATGCAAATATGATAAAACATAGGATTTTAATTGCAATTAAAATGTAATGGGAAAAGATGGTGTGTTTTAGGAAATCGTTCTGGCAGGACTTAGTTAATCTTGGAATTATATGAATGTATAAAAAGTTTCCTCTTGAATATTCTGGGTAAGATTCAATTTCTAATCAGTGGCTATTTTTCCCTTTTATATGCTCTGGTTATATAATATGATATTTTAAGTTGGCTGGATGGAATTTGAATTTTTATTATATTAAAGTAATATATATTTGTGTTTATCCAATGACTTCTGAGAATTTGCTGTTCTACCCTATGTTTAGCAATTAAAATAAGAATCCTAATATGAATTTCACCTAGGAGCAAGAATCTTCCAAACAAAACCTCAATACCAGTATTGCCTGTATTATTATTATTATTATTTTTTTGCTAATTGGTGGATTTATAAAGTAAGTACTACTTACCTCCTTGATCTCCCTGAAGAAAAATTAAAAATTTGATTGGTGCTGGTCAATATAATACTAATTGGGAGAGTCTTTCCAATATATATGTTGCAAACTTAAGAATAACAATTTATTATATTTTAAATTTATAAAAGAATTTTGCATATTTAAAATGACAAGAGCTTACAGGCATGAAAAGATACAAAAATTTAAAATCTTTGAAGATGAGGTCAGGATTTAACAAAGTTAAAAGTATATATACTTGAATATAAGGATTCTGATGTCACTAGAAATTAAAGAATAGGAGATAAATTGATTTTTAACTGGAAATCATATGAGCCTTGTATTTATAGCTAAGTCATTGCTGATGGACCCGAGGGTGATGACAAATAAACTGTTGTATGGAAACAGATCTCTTATATGGAAACTCTCCTAGGCTTTTCTCATTATTTCAAGACAGAGGAAATCTTTCTATTAGGAGCTAAGAACAGCTACCATCTAAAACCAAAAGGAATCACTAGAAAGTTTTGAACCATATTTAGAATTAATAATTGTATTGATACTGTATTATTTTAAAGATTTATTTATGTATTTTTGAGAGAGAGAGCGCATGCACATGTGCACATGCCACTGGGAGAAAGGGCAGACAGAGAAAGAGAATCTCAAGTGGATAGCCCCCTGAGCCCCAGAGCCCAGTGGAGCCCAAAGGAGCCTAACCGAGCCTGACATGGGGCTTGATCTCACAACCCTGGCTCAGAGCCAAAATCAAGAGTTGGGCCCGTAACTGAGCCACGCTGGCACCCTGATATTACATTATTTTTAATGTAAATTGTGGGATAAACTAAATAAATAATTATATTAATTTTATGAAGAAAAGGATTAGTATAAGATATTCAGTTTAGAGGAAATCAAGAATTTTATTAGGAACTCTGACCTTTTGAAGTAACAATATGATATTCTTTTACAAGAAAAACCCGTTTTGCTGTCCCACTGAAATAGCCCAGAAACAATTTGACCCCATGACACACTTTAATGTCCAGTACTATGATCTCTAATACTATTTCCACTAGAAGCAACACCAAGGATCCTTGGAGAAATAGCTGATTCCATGTCTGGGGCTAAAGGCACAAGTAAACATAAGATTTAGGCAATGTATACAACATGAATCTGGGGTTTGGGGCACCTGGGTGGCTCAGTTGGTTGAGCAACTGCCTTTGGCTCAGGTCATGATCCCAGGGTCTGGGATTGAGCCCCACATTGAGCTCTCCTCAGCGGGGAGCCTGCTTCTCCCTCTCCCTCTGCCTGCAGCTCTCCCTGCTTGTGCTCGCGGGCTCTCTCTCTGTCAAATAAATAAATAGAATCTTAAAAAAAACATGAATCTGGAGAAATGGCCAAAATGCTCATTTTCCTCTTTTTTTATTTTTTGAAGATTTTATTTATTTATTAGAGGGGGAAGGGACAGAGGGGAAGGAAAGGTACAAGCAGACTCTGCACAGAGCCTGACCGGGGGGTGGGGGAGGGCTCAATCCCACGACCCCCAGGCTGTGAACCCAAGACCATGACCTGAGCCAAAACCAAGAGTCAGACGCATAACCAACGGAGACATCCTGGCACCCCATTTTTGAAAAGGATTTTATTTATTTGAGAGAGAGAGAGTGCGCACACACTGAGGAGGCATTTGCCTCTTAAAGGTGTGGAATCATTGTTGCAATAACTTTAAGTAGGGTTCTGGACTTCCTATCAGGGTCAAAAACGGGAATCTAGGAGCCTCCTGGCCTAAATCACTGGTAGTTGTTGAGGTCAT